CTGTGGGAAAATTCTACTACCTTAGACGAAATAGGGTGAATACATCTCATATTACTGATTTACTGGTAATCTCGAAACTCTACTCTAATACGAAAATATAGTTCTTTTAAATGACGAATTCCTAAAATTTTGTTATTAAGAGCCGAAGTTAAGATATTTGCATTTCTTGGCTATGACAACTTTTATATCACACATTTCTCCTTACTCAAGAAAATTCAAAATGAGACTTCTTCTTTTTGCATCATATGCAGGACATGCGCATTCGAGTGCTTACCATTGCATTTTAGAACTGTGTTCATTTTCCACTTCTTCAGGTCCCCGTTCGTTCTACCTTGCCGCCATTTATATATCTTGCCTGGCACTATATGTGACCTAATGAAGTCCTGAGAGCTAAGGGCCATAGTCAATATTTACATTAATCTCGAACCTAGTACTGTGTTCCATGTACTAGCATGATAATTACTAGCATCTTTGCACTACTTTTGTAGATGTCCAGAGGTTTTATCTGCACCACTTTTGAATTGGAAATAAGCATTATTATTCTTAGCATTAAGCTACAACTCATCAAAGTGAAAAAGCTGAGACAACTATAAGAGCCACTAAGCTTTTGAACGATGATGAAATTTTTCTCACCCCTTTTGTTGTACCTAGTTTTGCATCTTCATCCCCATTTTATACGTCATATATTCACCTTTCAAATATACATATTTCTGAATCCTCACTTGTTAGAATATACCCCAGATGTGCCACTGTCTAAGCAGGTCTACTAGACGTGAACGTGTTAACCATCAAATTCGCAGGTCGTAAAAATGGCTCTTTAGTTTTATTTGCACCTCCACTCGGCAATCCATTTAACTTAACACCTATCAACTGGTCTCTCTTATTCCTGAAAAATACCAGTCTTATTTTATTGCTATTTTTTACTCCTATCATTCATACTCAGTGATCTATTTACATAAGTAGATCCTAATATATGAGCACGTGCATGGTAACCCTCAGTAGCGTAATTTGCAAAATGAATTTTTTAGTCTCATTGGATTTAGCACTTTAATTTCTTAATTTTAACATTGTACCAACTCTCCCTTCCTTTTTAACGGCAAGTGTGTCCATTTAACCAATTATGTTCCCTGTATAGTACACTTTTTGCTCTTTCGCTTTAACAATATTTATATCATTTCAGTCCAACCCTCACATGGGTTTTCATTTAATTCAGTTAGGCGTATGTATATGAGTTAATAAACAGTATTGTCAGGCAAGCCTTCATGGCCCAACTATATCAACGAGCCAATACCGTATAATCGAAATAGGAACACGCTAAACATTTTACTGCTAAGCTCTAATGAGATTGTGTTAGATAATCTCATTCTCATCTCTTATTACACTCAATCGAGACAGTTGCGACCATTCATATATGTGCTGCTGTATTGAACACCATCGGCTGACTTTTATTGAGCTAGTTCCTCGGTTTGATTCCTGTCGTATTAAGCGCATTCATTTGACTTACATTTAACAGTCATAATATTCTTTGTGCCAATGCCTTTTTATATTGAGGTTGTTTTCGCGATTTGGTCATATATGTAGGAAGACTTAGAGGAGCGCACCTAATCCGGAATACATAGTGTGCATAATCATTTTTAAAGTCGGACCTTGGACGTGGTACATTTCTAAACATTTCGCCGGGTTCGTAGTCGGCATCACCAGTAAGTCTCGCCATTCTTAGCACCATACAACAACTCGTCAAAAGAGACAAGTAAGCCTTTCCTTTGACCAAAGGTGTGCTAAAAAGTTGTGGTATCTCCCCTTCTGCTCTGGGCTATTCACGTTTCCTATATCCTCCTATCACACTTTCACTGTCACAATTTTTACTGTGTCTGATTATATGTAGTGTGATGTGCTCATTTGAGCTGCATTCATGAAAACTCTTCACACTCCACGCTTTCGTAATCACCCCCTTAACCCTTGTGTTGGGAATTCTGACCAGAGTCTGCTATATTGTTACGTAGTCCTCCTTCCCTAACCCTATCAGAGTCTCCCTCTTACCCCGTAGAATCCGTCTGCTATCTGCCTGGTACACGTATTACACTCGACCACTGCCCCCCCCCTCTATGCTACTCTAGGCGTAATTTGCTCATCCCCTGCATCTGGGTGACTAATTCGAGGCTAAAGCCTCTGAGCAAGACTCACGTTCACGCCTTTGCTACATTGACCACGTCTCTGGTAAAACTTTCAGCCAACTAGATCCAGTCTCCGCTGCGTCTATCTCTAATGCCAAGTATATGACTTGCAATGCCATAGTCTCTTGTGAGTCAACCCACAAATATTGTGGTACTGCTTGCTTTGATTAGGTCCAATGTTGAACTGCCCAATTTGTCCATTTAAACATTTGCCAAAAGAGGTGAGAGTGGAGATCCCATCGATAGTCCAAATATTTGGCCATAGATACTGCCATTAAATGTAAAATATGTAGTCCTTACTGTCAGGTTGATCAGTAGGGTTAACGATTCTTTCCGTATCCGTTCTGCCTCCAGAATGTCCTCTTCTCGCTCCAATATCTTAAGTAAATCTAGTAAACTAACGAGTAATACATTTTATTTAACTTTTAATTTTGTTTACTAACCTTGTAAAATATTCTCATTCCTTTCAAGTTTGCACGAATTTCTAAGTTCTTTAGAAGCAGGCGCCTCTTTTTGGTCATTTTTGACGAGGATAGATTTATGAATCTCTTTTCCTCTATATAACGTGCTTTACATTCATTAAGCCTGTTTTATCACTTGTTCAACATAACTGTATACTTTGTTGTGATATTTTCATTTGATATTGGCTTCTAAGACGGACCTAAGCAAGCTTGTGCTGCTCATCGTCCTAGTTTTACAAATAGGCTAGTCTCAGTATTTTTATAATCATATTCCTCCCTACAGGATTATTTCTGCGGGATCTCCTTCTGAAAAACTGTTAATTAAGGGTCTCAAAGGAAAAAAATGATATATACATCCAGGACTCATCATTTTCCGTTCCGCTTTACCTCCAGTAAAAATTTAATTTGTTGGCAGTATTGGTTAATTCACTTTAGGATTCTTCCCATTTTTCTTTTGCATGTGATCAGAGTGAGGATTGGACAAGCCCGGAATTTATTTTCTATAAGACACAAATTGATCTGCCAACATTGGATCCAAAGCGCTGCCTAGTATCAGGTCATTTGCTTAAGGTATAAATCGGCTACTAAAAGGATAAAAGATATATTTGGGTAACGATTGCAGACTAGTCCATATTTCAAGTTTCAACCGTAGTGATCTGTAGAACGATAATGATTGTCGTTTCTTTCATCCTATAATTTATAAAAATGTGGAATACATGAACTAAGGAATTAAAGTTATATATGAAATATGAATGTTTTAGCTGCCTGATAAGGTTGAATTATTAGATTATGTAATTAATGCTTATTTGAATAATCCTGTCGAAGAATTATTCCCTAACATTTTACAGTAAATTCTAATTTTTTAGTAAGGAATAAAGATTAAATATCTTACTGAAATTTTGTCGTCTTTAAACTTATATAAGATATTCCTTTAAATCTATAGACTTGCTTATGTATTTCTTTCTAGGTGATCAATTAATTATTTATTTAGTTTTATACCTGTTAACATGGGCGACTATGAATTATATAAAAAACGGCTACGCTCTTAGTCAATATTATTATTCGTTTTATAAGTTGGCTATATGCTTAACACATTCTGCCTTTTGGCGCCTTGCTTCTCCTGTCCTCACCGTTCACTTCACTTTTGCTATGCTTAGGCTTGTTTCTTTCCCTCATATTCATGCAAGATATTTCAATTCCACTTCACAATGTTCTGCTGGCGCCAGGACTTATGAATGTAAGCCTCTGCCTGGGGAGAGAGACCATAATGATCCCGATGGTTGGGCCAGAAGACTGTTCAAACTTTCGGATATAAGAAAGAATATGCCTGATGTGGTTGCCAATTCTGAAATTCCCCTTCTCCATTTAATTTGTCGGTTAAAGCCTATAAAAGGCGTAATGCATTATCACAAAGCCTTGCTTGAAAAGTATGGCATCGGACCGAGGACTAAGGTAATCAAGTCTGGGTTATTTATTGCCTTTAGCTACACTCATGGGTCGTAGTTAAAAATACTCCAAGTGTCAATGAAGAGCTTTATGCAATTAAGCACTTAATACGGGTACAACCTATAGAGTTTCCACATGGTCTTCCAAACAGCTTAAGTGATATTGCAAGGTGGAGGCTATTGCCAAACGGACGATTTGTTATTCACCCAATTTCAAATATCAGCTCGAAATTTTCAGAAGAAGATGCAACCTCCATTTCACAAATAGCGGGTTCTAATTCTTTGCTTTCCACGGACGTCGAAAAGGTTTGTTGCGCCATCATGCTCAATGGTTTCTTGTATAAGTTTATTAAGCCATTGATTTTCTTATTTTGAAACAATCCCATGCACACTTTCTTCTATTTATTATTGCTTAATTCTGCTGTTCTGCAAATGATTTATCTTTCCGTCCAGACTTAAATATCTCATTGATTGAATCATTTCCCGATGATCCTTGTTCGTGATTATGTTTTAAATGATAATTTGTGTTCTTTTTGCTTCGTTACATTTAACAGATATTGGATCGCGACCAAAAACATCGTCCTTATCTCTCTCGTCGATATTTGCGTGAATATTATAATTTACAGCACTGCAGACATAAAACTTTCAGTCAATTCTTTACCTCTTCATACCTTTATCGACTAAATCAGGATGGAAACGAGTACAGATATAGCAAGCTTTGGCGTTTAGATGATGCGATGCGACAGTCTATCCAATTTAGAACTCATCCAGATGGCACACAAAGAAACAAAAATCCTCGTTTTGAAGCGGATTGGAGTACATATCCATGGACGAATTATTGACCAGTACCTCTATTTACCCTGTACATATTGCTCATCTATTTGCAA